TCTCTCTCTCTCTCTCTCTCTCTCTCTCTCTCTACCACTCTCCCTCTCTCTCAGTATTCCTCAGCTGTTTCTATTTCTATTCGATTAGACAGACAAAGAGCTATTAAAAACCCGCGTGGACAAGTTCCATCGCCTCTTGAGGACAGAAACGTATTCATTTCAACTTTGTGTAACTTTTTTTTTCTAGCAGACGCGAACATTTCAAATCCAAACAGACATGAATCCGATAAGGCCTCCAAGGAATTAAAACAAAGTTAAACACCTTCCATTTCTGTCTTTAAAGACCAAGTGTTGTTCTATGAGCACGCCAACACCAACACACACACACACACACACACACACACACACACACACACACACACACACACACACACGCACGCACGCACGCACACGTGATGTTTGCAAAGAAAGGGGAAAAGGAGAGTTTTGATTATCTAGCTTCCGAATGTGCAAAGACATTAAAACTCAATTTGAAATTGTTTTTAAAAAGCCTATACTTCAAGCCCTTCTTGTTTCAATTGTTTCTGGAAAAACAGACACCTGACGGTAACTAGCTGCCAGTCTCGGACTGCCGTACTTCCCTCTTTCCACCGACGCCCCCTCCCCCGAGATCTACAATAATTGAATTTTCTTTTAGGAATAATCGGAACAATCTTTTTTCTGCAAGGAAAAAAAGACCCTTCACACGCCGTAAATGACACCACGCACGACACCACTCCCAGAAAGCACGAACTGGAAGAAGGAACGTAACGTCCTACTAGCCTCGCACCATTCATCTATAGTGTCCACAGCGTGAGAGAGAGACTGAAGAAGCAACAACTAGCGGGCCATCTCTCCAGAGCTCAAGTCTCCGTTCTCGGTGCCAGGCTCGTCGTTCCGGCCACCCCGGGATGCCAGACTTACAAATGAGCTCTGTCATTGTGGGCGCGGCCAGGCCAGTCACAGGGGAGACACAGGTCCGGGGGGAGAGATGGTTCAGGTGGAAGTGTGTGTGTGAGTGTGTGTGTGTGTGAGTGTGTGTGTGTGTGC